GACAGGGACGTTAATTTTTACCAAGTCAAAAGCGTTTGGCGCGGGGGCATGCTCTCATCATATCTTCTAGCACAGGCAATCATGACTCATAATGTAAAAATAATTAGCGTGGGCGGTAAGATTAGCAAGAGTGCATGGGCTTAAGAAAAATCTCAGCATAGACACCGCTTCAGGACTGCGATGTAACACACGTAGAGAGCACAAGCCAGAGAGATTGGCAATATTCCACTGGGGGTTTGAGCATTTTTCACTGTTAACTCGGTAAAAGATGTAATGAGGTTGTAACTGCAATTGTTCTTTCTTATGTTACAGTTTTGTCATGCTCCACATTGAGATGTATGAGTGTAATACAAGCATATAATGCCACGTAATGCAGTTCTCCTTATTGTATTTGCGGCTTTATTTTTCAATGGGTGTACAAGTATTTACATAGAAACTAAGTATGTCTTTAGTATCAAGACTATTATTAAGAAACTATGCAATGAAATAAAGCTTTTCAAAGTCCTTTTGGGAAAAAAAATTATTAGTCATTTAAAAAAAAATCTGTATCTGTACTCTTGCAATCATTTTTGCTTTCTGTTAAAGGTAATATATAACAATATTATGCAGGATTTAAAAATCTCCAACTGATCATATTTTGCTTCCCCAGATTCACAGCAGGCAGGTCTCTTACTACTGATTTTTTTCTTGTTCACATGCTAGTGCACAATTTCCTTTTTCTGAATATAAAGAATGTAGCCTTTAATAGATTATAAGCATATAATTTTAAGTTATTCTCTGCTAGGACAGCATTTAAACTATGGAAAGCTATTAAGCACAATTTTCTGTCAACTGAATTTCCTGAGCATTGCTGTTAATCAAAGTAATTTTAAAAGACTTGTGTCTAGATGATAGTAGCTATTTGGCTCTAGGTTATATGAATATGATTTTGAAATGTTTTTGATTAACAGCAATGTTCAGGAAATTCCTATCTGCGAAAATGGAATTTTAATAGGTCTGAAGGACCCACAAGAGTTAGATACTGAGCAAGGGAAAGAAAAAGATGTAAAGGTCATAGAACCCGGACACTGAGACTTCAGTAGTGTGCAGTGTGAGCTCTGCCTAACCTGTGCCTGGAAGCATTCAGTAGCAGGAAAGTCAAACCTGTTATGGGTAAATATCTTCTCACACCCACATTTACAAAAGTTAAATATGAATTCGAAGGTTTTGCTTTTTTTTCATCTGTGTAATGATCGTTATGATACAGGAAAATGACAGTAATTAACTGCTGAAAGGGACCAAATGTTAGAAACTTTTCTCAACTGCTTCCAATATATACAGCAAATTAATGAGTTCTCTCTTTATCCTGTGGTTTTTAATGTCTGATTTCTTTCTGTCTTGCTACTGCCGGAAGGTACACCTTGCTACAGTAGGTGGACAAATAGTGCATCTCCAGAAATGTAAGCTTTCTTCCTAGCTAGACTTCATGTAGAAGTGGCTTACCATTAGTAGTTTTCATGTAACCTTTAGTGATTTTACTATATTAAATTATTTAACAGTGTGTTTGATGCAAGGTGTGTGTGTGTAAACATATTTATTTTATACTGAAATTTGTTTCACAAACCAAATTTATGTGTGTCCATGATGTAATGTTCCAAGTAGTTTAGAAAAGGCTCTTTGTATCTATATGGTTTGTAGATTTTCTCTGGGTACCCTTGTCATAGAAACGTGGGATTAAAACAGTGACCATTATCACTAAGCCACCTCCTTGCTGCTGCAGGCAGCTATATCAAATATTGCCTTCAGAAACACAGCAAATTCCCGCTTATAACTGGTTTAAAACTGCTTCTAACAGTTTTTAATTTATATGCAAGGTGCATTGGCTTTGTTAAACCACCTACCACAGCAGCTATAGGTTGAAAATGCACTTCATGTTCTGCACTGGATCCGTTCTTGCGTAACCTGCTCTGGGTGGACCTGTTTTGGCAGGGGGGTTGGACTAGATGATCTCCAGAGGTCCCTTCCAACTCCATATCATTCTGTGATTCTTCAGTTTTACCACTATAGCACAGGGTTTGAGAGAGGTGCAGTACCAGTCTAAAGACGTGACCATGGAATCGATGGGGTACCAAATCACCAATACACACAAGCTTTGAATCACTGTATGAAGCAGTGCAGGGTGTTTTAGGAGTTTGAGGTTAACACAAATTAATTCCTGCTTCATTAAAAAAAAAAAATAATGGCAGGGTAGTCACTAATATTTCTAAAGAATTAGTGAGACTTTCTCCTTTTTACCTTGCTAGTACCTAACTAATTTTAAACTTTGACTTAAATGGAAGTGATATTTCACTCTGATAAGAAAAATGCCATCAGCAGCATATATATCTCAAGTGTTACAGCAGTTAATTCTTTAGGTGCATATTTAATGAAGTAAAATCTAGCACTGTGAGTAATACATGTGCTTTCTGAGCCAGGCCTAGCAAAGCTCAGTGTTTCGGAATGGGACTCACAACAGCCAGTTTACTATAAGCAGGGAACTGCCCACCAGGCATCTGTTAATGCTGGACATCCACTTTGGCATAGCAATGCTAGATACCTTCCTCCTTGATTGAAAGAAGGTACACGGTAAAGATGCCACCTGATTTACGAAGCAGCTGAAGCAACAACTCTGAGATGATAAAAATGAATTTAGATAAAATATGTGTATTTAAATCTTTTTTAATTTTAATTGACGTTAGCTGCTTAATATTTTTTGTAGCATGGCTGAGACCAAAGTGTTCTCATTACTTAGGAAGTGCCTCTGATCACTAGAGTAAAGCGTTATGTGTTCAGAACATGACATTAGTGATTTTTCCAGTGAATCAGGGCATCTTCCCTGCGCAGGAGTGACAACAGATGAAACAAGGACTACTCACATAAACTGGCCAGTGATGAAGGCACTTTCCTAATTCCATTTCCCATTGTTGCAGGACCCCTCAGACTGAAGGGAAGGACTCAGATCCTTCCAAGTTGAATGTTTCACTTATTAGTCCATGCCTCGAAAGTCACAAATATCAACAGATTGCTGCTGGTTTAAGTGGAGGAAAAAGATACAGCTGTAGTCAGCTTTATTTGGTCACTATCCCCAAGCAAGGATTCCAAATTGTAGGCAGCTAGTTATGGGACCCACCTTTCTGGAAGGCTAAGTCAGGTACCCAGTCTCAAAGCAGTTCCCTTCTTAGACTATTTGCTGTTCTAAATCTCACTCTAAGGCGCTTTATTCTGCCCCTCGCACAGTGGGGAAAATACTGCTAGATTTTGCTTTGAAGCCTCGGTTCATAAGTGTTCACCACCTCTGTTATTCAGTCTTGTTCATCATACCTAATTAATTCCTCGTGCTTGAGTGTTTTGGGGTGAAGACTCCACTGAACTGCAAAGTAGTTAATATTTGGGTGTTGGTAGACTTAGGAAGCTTTCTTCCAGTACCTAATTTATTTCTGCCTTTTTTAAAGTCCAACACCTATACTTAATCTCTGATTATATGACAATAGGTTTTTTCCTACCTTAAAAAAAAGTATTCATTTTCGAAACACCAAGTATTTTTCCCACTGCCCCTAAACTGAATGTGAACAAAAATGGCTATGGTACAGCTAGTATTTTGTGTATTGATATAGGTAGCATGCTTTTATCAGCCTGCAAATATGTGTTCAGAATCAATAAATATAAACATTTAAATAGAACAGGATATTTAAAAGTGTACATACCAGGGTTATTTGAATTATGTATGATGGGTTTATTATACGCAATTATAAAGATGTGTTCATACCCAGTCTTTGGCCTCCTGTGATTCAGGAAAACTGAAATGTGTGCTGCTGCATCTTCACGGTCAAATTATTTTCCACAGTATAAAATAGAAATTACATTTTTCATCTAAGTGCAAAATTTGGCTATTACCAATTTTTAATTAAGAATTGTTTATCTCATTTAGAAGATGATAGAAAGAAGATATTTATTTTCCTCCACTTGCCAAAAGGTGATCGTACTTAGAAAATTTGCTGAGATTGTCCAAGAAAGTGTGTAAAATCCTCATCCATCACCGAGAGCCCCTGGTCAGGGAATGACAGTGCAGTAAATATCTTCAGCAGCTGCCTTTTAATGTACAAGCTGTTTTCGGTAGGAATTTTCAGCACTCACATAAAACACACTGTCATGAGTGACTGCCTGTGCTCCAAAGTCATTACTATTGGGATGATGGAACATCTTTCAGCGAATAACCAAAAAACTTTAAATGTCATGTCAAGTTTGTTGAAGCCATTTTCAAGCCTTGCTCAAGGTTACATGAATATTGAGTACTCCTGTTTTTAAAAAGTTTGAGATCTATGAGAGGGACCACTCATATGCTGGTTTTGAGAGCACTCGATTTGGAGGGGGGGAACAAAAAAAAAAATCTGTCTATTAATACACGTCAATCCAGCAAAGCTCCTGGATATTAACTGAGTGGAACTTCTTGTGACAGTCAATGCCAATGACGTTCATCAAAAAGTAGCAAGTTATGCAAATTCTGAAAATTACTTAGCTGCCTAAAAGATCACAAAGGCAAGAAAAGTTATTACAATGGATAATTAAATTGAAATAGATTTTTAAATACATTTTAAAATTTGAACAATTAAAAAAAAAAAAAAGTAGAAAATGTAATTACCCAGATAAAACTTTGGAAGACACTGAGAAGTGCTGAGTACTCTGTTTTCTCTTTGACTCCAGTAAGAAAGGAGGATGCTGTCAGGCTCTATGTGTGATTTTGTAGGAAATATGGATGCTAATCTAATGAAGTCACGTAAAGTCTGTATCACTTCCAAGGGACCAAGCCTACTGCCTTTGAAGTGATAATATTTTTTGTCTTGCCTCCTTGTTAATCATTACTCCTTCTAGTACATCATCTGCATGTAAGATTTTGTCTGATCAAGAGGTCTTTTTATATTACAAAATATTGAAACTGAGTATTTTAATAGCTAAACAAGGTTTATTTATTTTATCTTCTGCAGAGAACCAGAAAGGACAACTAGAGAAGTCATGTTCGCACCACAGTATCAGTTTAAACTTGACAAGAAGCCCAGCCACCAAAGAGGTTACTTATGATGTTGAAACAAGTTCTTCTATGGCTCGGAACAAGGCTGTTGGGAGAAAGGAAGCCTGTCATGGAGAAAGCAACAAAGAAAAGAAAATAGATCGTATGGCGTCTCCTTCTAAGGGAGAAGCCATTCCAGAAGTAGAAGCTCTCCTGGCAAGACTGCGAGCACTATAGAATAATCATATAAAGGATTAAATCAAAGCTTTAAAAAAGGCTCTAATAGCCTACATCTCTAAAGATACACTAATTTTCTATTATTGACATTACATACTTCTGAGTTCCCAACTTCTCTATGGATGAATACTTTATTTCTAAACTGTTTTGTTTGCAAGACTGTATAAAATTATGCTCTAGTTTTGCATAACTGCAAGGTTATTTTTGTTATATGGTTTTACCTACTGAGCATACAAAAAATATCAGAAGAAAGAGATACTAAATTACGCCAAGGCACAATCCTTTTAGTGGACAAACTGCTGACCACATGCTTTGAGAGAAGCTCAAAATAGGAATACCTTTTAAATAATGTTAAATCATCATGCCTGGGAATAAGGGTCAGGAAATAATGGAAAGGGTATTCTTATATTTTCTACTGCTATTGCTATACTTAAGAGAGTTTAGCACCTAGAAAGTATTATGATAGCATCCTTTGCAATTACAGTTATAGGAAGAATGTATCATATAGATCAGCCATGTTCCACTTTGAGTTCATCAAAGAGCACCAAAGCTTGCCGAATTATATATATATTTACGAAAAGGAAATCCATGGACAGTAAATAAAAAATCTATGCAAATAATATATTTTATGTGTGATTAATATATCGCTGCTGTTAAGCTTAGTTATGATTATTATATCAAAATAATATATACCATTTCTGTGATTGCAAGGTTTTGCAATTGTGTCCATAGTGGGGGAAAATGTCTTCACAGTTATCTACCAGGGTAATTTTTTATCTTTTCACATGTGAGTTAATATGTTTCTATAAAAGGAACATGTAATGGAAAAGATTTTTACAATTGGTTTTTCACAAACTCATTTTCCAGTAGCCCGTAAAGTCTTATTTGCTGGCACAATAGGAATCTTGCACATAATTGCATCTGTGTTATCTCACTGTCATTGTACATTGTTACGTGTTCGCTATCGTATTTATTAATTGCACATCATAAAGAATCTCTACCTGTGTTACCGAGTAGGAAGCTACTATTAGTATCTTTACTCCATTCTTTAAAGCTTCCTTATTCTGAGAGTGTGTATTAGGTATCTAATATCTTTCTTCCAAATTACTCTATTTTTCTTTACAAAATGCTGAAAAAATATGTCTTTCAATAAGAGTCACTTACATGAAACCGGTGTTTCAATGCTCCAGTGCTTTTTATATCCTTGTTTAAGTTGCCTTCGTACTTCCTGCACTAAACATTAATAAAGTTAATTAGAACTCGGAAACTGGGCCTGTTTATACACGCTGCATGGAGGGCTTCTCAGCCGTCGTGGGAATCAATCTCATGTTTCTAGGGCTGTTGTAACTGTCATTATACACTCTAATTACGTTTCCCGCCTTAGCTGAAAAAAAATAAGAGGTATAAACAGAAGTCGGGGAAAGATGGGGAGAAGGCCCATCAGACAGCCCTTTCCTCAGCTCTCCTTGCAAACAACGTGCAAAGCCGTCACATGGAACCATCTTTGGCATCTTGAATTTGCGTAGAGTAACCACAGAACTGGGGCTCGATGCATCTTTAGTGGGTAACTAGAAACACAGCTACTGGTAGATGTTCCACTAAGGTCTTCTGCACCCCCACTGTTGACACTTACTACCCCTGTTTACAGGGTGCAGTAAAAATTACTATCCGCAAAGTACGTTACACTCGACTAAACAAAATGGTGTTTCAAACACAAAGAAAATGCAGGTTGAAGGAAAAAAAAAAAAAAATAATTAAGCATTCACAGGATGTCTTCAGTTGCTGAGGACGTGCTGCAGTAAAAGGGGTAGGAGCAGAGAAGTGGCTCTGCAACACCAGCAGGATGACCGACCCGCTGAAGGTGGGAGTACAAATTCATTTTCCTGAACGCAGTAAACTTGTTCATCTGAATTAGTGGGCAATAGTCCACAACCGAGAGCTGACAGTTCAGGACACTAATGTGGAGTTTATCAAGCAAAGAAAAGTTACAAAACTGTCCATCTGCTGAAATTTTCAATGAAGTAAACGCGGCTAGCAGCCTAGCATCTTCTGATTTAAAAATAAATATTTACATTTAAAATTATAGATCTAAAGCTACCTTTGTTACAGTTTGAGAAGCTTTTAGAAATGTATTCCATGGCTTTTAGTCCTTCTCAGAGATTGTGTTCCTGAATTAATCCTTTCAAGCAGCCATCAAGTTAATTCACAGTTTCTTTTGTATAACTAGGAGAATGAAAATGGCTCTACAACTTCTTAGAATCCGTGTAAATACAGTGTGTAATTTTTTTCCTCTTCAGTATTTCTTTGTACCATCATAATTTGATGCATTCAGAGTTCAAGTACACAGTCTGGTTGAAGTACACAGTAAGTTTTCTTTCTACATTTCATCTTTCTTTAACTTCCCTTAGAAGCAAACAAATAAACGGGACATTTTTTTGATAGCAAAAAAATGCTTGTGTTGCCCAATGAGTTCAAGTAAAGAATAACTTTGGAAGTATTATGTCTGTGTTCTATTTCCATGCTTTTATGTTTGTATTAAAGTATAAAAATCAGCTTCTAAATTATATGGAGTGAATCGCTTTAACTAAATTTAAAAATTAATTCATTTATTCCATTTAAAATGTAAAGTTAATTCAATCTAAAAAATACGTGGGGTAGACCTTTGGTGGTGTGTGCTAGTTAATGGCTAGTCAGCCATTTTTTAGTAACTATCAAGTCTATTCCTCGAGCTGAGAGACTGAGCTTGTGTGAGGTATTGAAGAAGGTTTCACATACTGTGCAAAGCCCTCTCTTTCTGTAATTCACACCTGAAGATTAAATCCTTATAAAAAGAGCTTCCCGATTTCCTCAAACACGGCTGTTTGGATAAAAACACTTGAAGTGATCTTGCAGGGCGCGTTCCGCTGCTTCTCTACCTGAGCACAGAAACACCCAGGGCTTTTCTTACCCAGGTAAAACTCCTGCAAAGGTCTATCACATCTTCTTCATTCTTCACATTCAGTTTGGATGACTTTCCCTTTCACTCAGAATACGAATTTTGATTACTACATCAATTTTTACTTCATACGTACACCGGCCTTATTCATGGCGGTGGTCTAAATTCATATGTCATATTCTAATGTTTTGGCCTTCTCAAGAGATGGATGTTTGCCATCAGCCTCATGCAGCCAAGCTGGACACCTGGCTTATGAGCCGTGGGTAATAGACTAGTCTGTGGAAACCCAGAAGGAAAAATGATGGTGGCAACTTCATTACCAAATCCTACAACAGCACTGGGAGGTGGTGGCTGCTGCCAGATGTGATACAGCTCCGAATCAGGCACTTCAGTAAAGGACCAGCACCCTGAAGAAATCATAGTTACTTTTGGTTTCTCATTAATTATGGCAACGCTACTGCTTAGGAGACTGAAGTACCACACGTTGAAAAAAAAAAAAAAAAAAATCTCAGCTGCACTTGTTATAAACAGTTTTCCTTCAACACACCATTTTCCTCGTTTTGCCTCGTCCGACCGGCTCTCAGCCTGGCCCAGCCAAAAATAACAGTTTTGAGAACTGAAGGAGTTAATGCTGAGCAGCTTGAGGTACTGCAGCCCTTTAGGCTTTTATAATAAAAGCTGAAAAAGACGACATTTGCTGCTAAGGCTTTTTCCACATCCATTTCTAATGAACAGGACCAAATTATAATTTTTACACTAATCCTTCCAAGCCTTACAATACTCGGTAACTATAAAACAAATGGGCAACAAGCAGGGGTCGATAAACCCTAAGCTGTGGCACCTAAAACATTATAATAAGCGACCAGGGTCAAGTGAAAGAGCTCAGAAAAAAAGCAATTACATGACAATGTTGTTTTCTCCAGAGCAAAATAAAGCCTTTCTCTACCATTTTCTGGGTTTTTTTAATGGGATGTGTGGGTTTTACACAACCGAACTGCAGCAGAAAAATAACTTCACTTGAAAGTTTGAGAAACTGTTTGGCTTGTTTGTGAAGTAAAAAAGAAGTAGATGAATTGCAGATTTTGTCAGTTTTTCAGTCTAACTTTATGCCAAAATTCCTATACGTACGAAATTTTAAAATTACCTTCTGCTATTAAAGTAGCTGTGCTGATGATTAATCTATTTGTTTTAAATTCTTTTGCCACATGAAGTGAGAACACTCTCTTCCTTTCCAAATACCCTTTCTACATGGCCCTATTGTGTGTTTTACACCTGAAGTGCAATATTCGGATCGGGGCCGTACATCTCACTGGAACGCCGTGCTGCTAAAGCATTCTGCTCACTCTATGACACCAGTGAAGAATAAACAAGAGGCGGTCCAGGTACGATTTTTCTCTCCCTCCCAGTTACAGAGAGAGATGTGAAGTTTCATACGTTACCTGAGTACATTTTAAACCCCCTCTGTCCTTTTATTTCAGCAGTGCAGCTTTTTTCTTGTTGCGATCCACGCAACGGCCTGCGCTAAAGAATTATTAAGGGAAATATTTTCCAACAACGTACCAAAAATACACGGGGCAGATGACTGACGTGCAACATCAGTCTTATATATGCTGCAGGAGGCACAACGCTTGGATGTAATCCAGACAGAGGCAGATAAGGTATTTTGCTCCACCAAAAGAAAATAGTTCCTTTCATCTAAATGAGCTTATTCCACTGCTGGTACCAGAGTTCCATGTATTTTGAGAGGGTGATATACCCCTATTTTAAAATCTGTGTTATATTAGCCAGAAAAATAAACTATGGAAAGGCAGAAGCACAGAGATTGGGAAGCACAGTTGATTAATGTGCTGCCCGATTTCACTTCTGAGACCTGAAATTGCAGCTAGAGCAGAATGAAGCAACTGGGGGAAAAAAACAGTCTCATCTGACATCTTTAAAGGTCACGAAGGAAATGATGGTGGGTGATCCAGAGTTGGTATGGCCACAGGTGTCTTGTCTATTCGAAGACATATATCAGAATATCCTCAGAATAGCAATGCTGTTGGGCTGTTGGTTCTCAACGCTCTCGAATGAATAAAGGGAAAGAAAAGGCTGACAGAGATAAATATGAGCTCCCATAAAACCTAAGAATGTTTTTGTCTTAAATCCAAGTGTCAGTCCCGCTACCATTCACTTTGATACCTGAAGGAAGAGCATGAGGAGAGAGAGGAGGCCACAAAATGGTCATACCTCTCTTGGTAGCTGGAGTGGCCGACACAGAGAAGGTAGCACAGACGGCAGTGTGTCTTCCTAGTGTTTCAGGCTGCGCAGAAAGCCCCAAGGAAATTTGGGCTAAAATCATGGGATCACAATAAAAAAACCCCACACTTTTACAGCTATGCATTTAGAATAATAAAAAAGACTTGTCTTCTAAAATGTTCAGGTGCCAAAATGGCAGCAGAACATGTGCATACTCCTGATGGCTCCTGAAGACAGCTATTACATCAACTCTCCAAGTCTGATGACTTTGTGCAGGCTACACATTCAGAAGGAGTTTTAATTCTCAATTATTTAGGCTGCTTTGTTATATATAGTTCAGCCTCTAATTGAAATTTTCAGTCCAAAGCAAGCCACATAAACTTTGCAGTCTATAACCATTAATAAAAAAAATGGCTTTTGTAAAAGGTCTGTTTAATTTGTGGCGGTTTAATGTGAAGGTTGTTGCACACACTTGAAAACAAGCAGTGCAACAAGAATCTTTCCATTAAGTAAGACAGAAATGGCAATTATGCAGTCTGTTGATCGGATTTTTTACTAATGATGAGTACTTTCTGCTAATGGATAGGATAGGAAAGCAAAGCAGCCCAGTCAAACAAGTCACCTTGGTAGTATAATGCAAGACCCGTCAATTTTGCACACAACTTCTTCAGTAATGAATTCTGGGAGCACAACCCATCAACATTCCTCCTGGAAGACAACCACTGAGGTAGAGGAACCACAAAAAGTGGTTTGAAATGAAAAATGGGATAAGAGCTTTACACCCCTTTAAAAGTGGAATTGATTATGATGAATTCATCTCCAAGGTGCCTGGGCACTGCATTAAAAATGCTTAGACAGAAAAAAATATGATCCCACCACGCAGCTGGTGGCACCTCGCCATTTCATGCTGCAGCATCACAGTAAGATAACTATAGAGTCCTATCTTCATACTTGTCCTTGAATCTACTAACACTGTGGAGAACCAGAGGCAAGACTGAAGAAGAAACAGAATTATTTTTTTTCACTTGAGATGTGACAGGTTCCAACCAGCAAACCCCTGCTACAGATTAACTGCTGAAGCCTCGGGG